GTGGGACCGTCTCTGAAATTCATAATTATATTGATATTAATGATAGATTCATAAAGTTTTAGCTTTATTGATAGTTTCGTCGTTTTATCGGCAGTTACGAATGCCGGGAAAATAAAAGTACCGGCTGTTTGGAGTTCTGAAAAAAATCGATGGTATTATTTTGTAAAATTTATTGACTTCCTTTGAGAGGCTTATTTTCCAAGCCCGGGAGAGCAAATGTCGAATGCCGAAAGCCGAAAGCCGAAAGCATTAGAAAGGTAAATTATCCGCGCTTGCTTCACACAAACTTTTTTCGCCGAGTCTCAGCCTCACGACGAAACAAGGCGTTTAACAGAAACAAATTCGATTTCCTTTTACTTATCTGATCATCGGCGGCGATGTCGTAAAACTTGGCTCATACACCGACATCGGAGCACCAGCCTCTTGAAAGCGTGACAGTCAGTCTGGTTGTTGTGCTTGACTTGTTGGCGGCGTCCTGCGAAAGCTCGACCCATGGCTACCGAGGGATGATGTCCTTCTGTGGCCTTAGGGAATCGTGAGCGGCGTGTCGACTGACCTACCTGAGTAATTACATGCTTCAAGGATGCTAATTGACTTTTTGCGAGTACGTCGGTCCCGCTAGATTTTCTTGATCCTCGATAATGACCGAAGGCTCTCGGTTAATCATACTTCTAATCGACTCTATGAACCTATTTCCTTTATCTTTTATTTCGTTAAATTTCACGAAGACGCATATTAAAGGCATTCGATTTATGCGCGAGATAATTGTGCGGGGAAATCAGACTTGGATGCTGCTGTAATCCTTCTCCTATAGGATTAACCTTCCGGATTAATGTATAGGGCAAGTAAAGTGCATTTTACTTAAGGATGGAGCTTTACTCATTGAAAAATCAACCTTTATGATTATACCTTGAAAATTAATGATTGACAATCAGTTTATTTCAATCGGTTCAAATTGTCCATCACCAATTATCTGCGCAATGTCCTTGTTTTCTTGAAATAATAAATTAAACATTTTTTTAATTTGTTGAATAAAGGTCCAATAAATAACAAATTACAAAAATGGTACAGCTACATCAAACGCACATAAATCAATAAAGCATTTCATTTCTTACAAAGTCATTGCTTTTTATATAATACAATAATCTCTATCTAAAGATAAGTTTTTAATTTTAGTTGATTACGCGACATTGTAATATTATGTTTAGTGCAACGTTCTTATCAGTTTGTATTATATCAATAATATGTTCTATTAATAAGAAAAGCTTTTACCAACAATTTTTATACGTAATATAGTGGTATTTAATTTTCAATTTCTTCGGGAATATAATGTGGATATTGTTCCTTTGATATCTTACTTTCAATTTTCAATGCTTTCATATTTATCAGTAGTATCTCATATTTTCTATTTTGCTCAAGACATTTTTCAAAATACATTATGTTCAACTACTTAAAGCAATGTTTCGCACATTTTGTAAGAATACGTATTTTAGGTTTACTTTAAACTTAAATAACACTTGTTGAAAATTCTAATTATTATAAATAAAATTAATATTCAATGATTGTAGAAATTTATAGGATGAACATTAAAATGTATTAGATTTCACATTACATTTATTACATTATTAATAACAATTTTTAAATCCTATTTATAATTTAAAACGTTCACTTTCATTACAAATACTATTCTTATATTATATTTGTGATTGTTCTTAAATATTATTTTTTATATTTTTTCCCCTTTCTTTTAAGCAAACTTGATTTTGACTTTTAATCAAATTTGCCAATTTTTTATAATTTGATTACATTCTACCAAAATTTTAATTTAAAATATTTAATCGATAATCGCTTTAAAAACTTTCTTTTTTGATATTGGTGCCTTAATGAATTCGAAATTAAGTTGAATGATAAATTAGTTTCCATTTGTGTTCTGTACTAACGATAAGGTATTTTTTTTTCTTTTTTCTTCTTCTTTTTTTTTTGTTTTTTTTTTTGTTTTTTATTCATTCAACCAAGATTTTCTCTTTCAATTTCAATTAAGAATTGATGTCTGATAGGTTAATAGTAGAATTAGTATGTATTTTTGAAATCTACTAGTAAGCATTATTGGACGTAATAAATCTTCTTTTTCTGTAATAATTGTCAAGTGTGTTTATTTCTCTTTGCGTAAGGGAGTTTTTTTAATTCAATAGTATTTTAGGTAAGGCAAATAATATTCAGTGGAGTATACTGAATTACTATAGTTCGACTGTCACACCAACGTACGCTATAACTATAGATCTTGTGAGTGTAGTTATCAGTAAAAAGTTTTATTTCTGTAAAATATATAAATGGGACTTTATAATATATAATGTAGTAGATAACATTTGGTAATGTTTTAAATATTGAATACAGTAGTTTGTCAAGAGATTACCGAATTATTAGGATTAAAATTTGAAATCATTGTACCTCCAGAATATTTTTATTTTGTTACTTTGATGCACAGATTTGTATTTCAAAGCATTTTTTTAACGTTAATATATCATTATTTAAAAAACAAAAAAAAGAAAAAGAAAAACAATATTCTTAATTATTTTTATGTACTTTAAGACTTTTAAGAAAATATATGCAAATTAATACTTTTTAGAATATATATACAAATTTATATATATATATATATATATATATATATATATATATATATATATATATATTTGAATTAATATTTTGAGTTTAAAAAAATAATTACGCTTATTTGTAAACCGATGACCATTTCGTGCGTCATTTATTTATGCAAACTATTCTTCATACTTTCTAAATTATTTTCATTATTGGTAAGCAATACGATATTTCAATAGGAAAGTTTTACTTTTGAAGGCCAAATATGAATTTCATAGAGACAAAATAATATATTTCATATTATTTAGAGCAATAATTTTTCACTCATAATCATTTTTTTCATTAAAATATTATTAATATGATTATTCGTAATAATTAAATTTATTTACGATATCGGTATCGAAGTTACTTATTAAATGCAATTTTATATATCTAGTCAATATAAATTGCGATATTAATCGAGGGATCTATTTATATTTAATTTTCAAACATTATTTTGTTTTATATATGTCATAAGGGAATATAATATTCTTAAAACGGAATGCTGTGAAAATAAAAAATATTCTATTTGCAATGAAATTCATATCTCTACTTGCAAAAACTTATAACTTGGCATTTCTGAATGAATTAATAATTTTCTAAATAAACATAAAATCTCTTACTTTCTGTTGTTTTAGCATAAACATTATTTGACACAGAATTTTCTCAAATTTGATTCTAAATGTAGTATTTTCAGTAAATCGAGAGAATTAGAATTAGAAATTATATAAGATAAATAGTTACATATATATAAATAATTTATTATGAAATATAATGATTATTTCATGATTATTTAAATTCATTTAAAGTAATCTTTAAGATATACAAATAATGCATTATTATAATATGTTTTATAAGAGGCTTATATAAAGGAAAAAAAGAATATTATATTTGAAAATAAGAAAATAATTTCTTCTTTATTGTAGTTTTACAATAATTAAAAACCATCATAACGCTTTCCAAAAATATTATCATAATAGCTGAAATTACCATATTTAATTGATAATTGAATATAATTAAATATTTTTCTTCGTTGCGTATAAAGATTATCATATTGAAATATAAAATATTAAATTATTTTTTACATATTTACATTGCGCAAATGTGATTAAAAGTTTATTAATCTTATATTAATTAAATTTATTAATCATCTTTAGCATTATTGTCATTATTATTGTCAAATGTAGTTTCAGAATTTCCGTGAACTTGAAAATTTATTCTTTCTTATATTCATAATTTTGAATTACTTTGAATTACTTTACATCATGATGCACAGCATTTCACGAATGATAAATCAAGTTTAGTAAATAAGAGCCAATATAGATATATTTGTATCGAATAAGTTGCATTAATTGAAATCTTCTTTTTTTTTTATACATTGAATTAACAATTTCTCCTTACTGATGCCTGAGAAATTATAAATAATTAATCAACTTGTAGTTATAACATGCTATTTGCAATAAGCAATGGTAATTTATGTTTAAACTAATATGCGGTTATTCGCTTCAATAATTTGATAAAACTTCAATTATGACTAATTCTTTTTTAAATAAATAAATAAATAATTATTGTTATTGTAAGTTTCATATTTATGTACAATTGAATGCTGCACATTTTAAAAAGGTTATGTCGTAACAATGTAACTTGATTTTTTAATAAATTATCTTGATAAAATTTAAAAAATTGAAAGTATTTTGTTGCACGTTAAGGATTGGTGATCAAAAACAAATTTTAAGACTCTTAATTGCGGGCTCACTATTATTTTTCACATTGTTCTTAATATTAAAACGATGTTTTACAAATATTATTAATCTTATATTATAATTAAATTTATAGAATTAGACTAATTAATCTGCAAATTAAATTAAATTTATAGATAATTAAACTTATAGAATATGCCGAACGACGATTCAAATAACTACAAATATAAAACTTAATTTGCTTTTCTTAAGCTAACAATGCTGCATCGATTATTTATAATTTTTCAATATTAAACGTTACTTTTTACTCATGGAGCATAAAATAAATACGATTACTTATTTGAATATCATTACAAATTTATATGGCTCAATTACTCGTGTGATTACTGATATTAACAAGTGCGTTTATCGGATAAAAATAAATTGAATAAAAATAAAAATATTTGTACTAATATTAAATGTCTTACGTATGTCAGGTAGTCTCGGTATTATACGTTACAATTGTCGTAGTAATAACAAACAATTAAATATTAGCGGTTATTCGTTACAAAAAAATTCATATATTAATATGCTCTACTGCGAATAAATACTATGTACAAATAATATTCCTTTTCACTTGTCACTTGTATTTGTATTAATATTAAAATTCTATTTTTACGTGGCTGTTGATTATAAAATAAATAATCTAAGGCAGTTTGGACAAAAATGTAAAAATTCGATGCACCGTATTCAGAATAATGGCGAATCGTGGCTCTTAGGCATTAACGTTTAATTGACTCTGTGGTGACAAAATTGCATTAAATATAGCAAATCTTTTCTCCTCGTTTCCCAGGCTCTTTACACTTAGCACGTACACACGCAAACGCATAATCGTATTCTTTGTACTATTTGCTTGTCTCTCTTTTTAACATTCGCCAATCTTCTTTAATCATATCGCTAGCCTTCTCGCCTATCATAATAGTCGGTGCATTGGGATTGCCGCTTACGATTTCCGGCATTATCGATGCGTCCACAACTCTCAAGCCTTTCACTCCGTAAACTCTCAGACGTGGATCAACAACGGCCGTTTTGTCGGTTTTGGGGCCCATCTTGCAGGTGCCGGTCGGATGATAAATAGTGAATGTGAAGTGCCTTATCGCACACTCCCAGTACTCGTAAGTATCAAATGGAAAGGGCTGGCAGCCTGGCATTTTTATCGTTAACGGCCTCGAGCCGAATCTCTGGAAAGCCGAGGAATTCGAAATCTCCATGGCTATACGAATGCCATCGACCAGAACGTCCATATCCTCTTTGTGCGTAAAGTAATTTGGCACGATCTCAGGGTAGACCATTGGATTTCGACTCTTGAGACGGATCCATCCTGAGCTCTTTGGTCTGAGAAGTAACGGGAGTATCGACCAGGCCTCGGCATTTTGTATGGGCTTGTACATCGTATTATAGACGCTGTCCCTCAGAGCGAGGATCTTACGTATTTGATCGCCACCGTCCGAGCTGATGGAGCTTGGTGCAAAATGGAATTGCATATCCGGGAAATCGCCGGTCGGATCGGCGTATCTCGTATTAACAAAGGCCAAGCCTTCTACACCCTGAGTCGTCATGGGTCCCCTCTCGTTCAATATGTATTCCATTACAACGGCGGGTGTCTGAAATCGATCTTTTTTAAACGTAATGGGCTCGTTAATGAGAAACGTCAGTCCGCCCAGGCCGACGTGATCCTGTAAATGATCGCCGACACGGAGATTCGATAACACGGGTATTCCAAGATCGTTCAAGTGCTCCTCGGGCCCAAGCCCCGAAAGCATCAGTAGCTGAGGCGAGCCAATCGCTCCAGCCGACATCACGACTTCTCGCCGAACTCGCACATGATGTCGGCGTCCGTTGCGTAGAAATTCCACTCCAGTCGCGCGGTTATTAGAATTAAAGGTGACCTTCAGTGCTTGGGCATTCATGGCAATGTGTAAATTTTTGCGGTTGCGTACCGGACGTAGGAAGGCTTTAGCTGTCGAGCATCTACTGCCTCGCCTGATGGTCGCTTGGGTAATCATAAAACCAGTCTGATTGGCACCATTAATGTCGCATATATTGTATCCCAGTTCGGAGGCTGCTTGTAAAAAGGCAATGGACATTGGCGTTCGCCAGGGAGTCTCTTGAACAGTGAGATATCCACCAGTATTGTGATAAGGTGTTCGTGCTAGATAAGGATTTCGATTATCCTCGGATTTAAGGAAATATGGTAGCACGTGGTCGTAGCTCCAGCCGGGATTGCCAAGTCGCTCCCAATTGTCATAGTCCCTCCTAAAATTCATTACAATTACATCAGTCTATCGTACAAACTTTATTTGAAACATAATAATAGCAACAACAACAACAACGACAACAACAACAACAACAACAACAACAACAAGAAATATCTTAGCAAAAATCAGATAACGAGTCATCAGTTAATTAATTAAGATTTAACTAAGACATCGATACATTTTAGGTAAAATCGATAAATTTCAACACAATAGCTTAGCATTCGTTAATTTTCTTTAAATATTTCATTGATGCTAAATAATTAAGTAATCTAAACATTAAATAATAAATATAATACATAGTTTAAATATAATAATAAGTGTTGAGAACAATGATTTTTCATGAATATTCGGAACATAATGACGAAGTTTGAGGAGCTTCAAAGCTCATTATTGGAATTAGTTAGAACATTTAGTATATTAATTAATGCAATTAAATTTGTTGACGATATAAAAAGTAGATCTCTTAATAATTCCGAGAGAATATAATAGATAGAGAAGAGAATAGATACAACCACTGAAAGTTGACCGCACTGCCTCTAATACTCTCAACCACTTGCTTTATAAATTTGAAATTGCTTTTAAAAATACTTTCAGTGCATTATTAAATTATATCGTATGTAGCAAATAATATAGAAAGCAAAAAGTTTATAATTAATTAATTAATCAATTAATAGAATATGATTTATATTTAAATGTAACTTTTCTTAAAATTACGAGCATATTATTTAACGGGTTAATATTTCGCAACAAATATTAAATTTTATTTCATAAAAATTTAATTTATCGAGAACGCCGAACCCTATGCCATATGATTATATAATAAATTAAATTCCCTATCTATTTCGTAATATAAGCATAATAGTCAATATTTAAAACTTCAAACAAATGAATGATAATATGTTGCTTTCGTTGCTGTGTCGACACAAGTAATTTTTTCATTCCACAAATACGGCAATTTCTGAACTTTAAATATCAGTACTTAAATCAGATATAATATTATTTATTTATTTATTTATTATTATTATTATTATTGCATTGATCATTATCTTGCTATTAAATATATTTTTAACATCGTGAATTACAGATGATTATTTAAAAAATAAATACATTTTTATCTAAAAAATTCAGTCTATTTTTTTGGCATATTTAATAACGTCGTATTTACCATTATTGTTATATTAAATAAGAAATACATTTTTACGTTTATTTTAATAACACACGCGCCTACAGAGACAAAAAACCGAATGAAATGTGCATTCATTTTTGTAATTTAGATATAGGCTACTTCTCGGTAAATTAAGTTATTGGCGTAAATAGTTTTATTATATTTGCGCGTACGGCTGCACGTCACGACTATTAAATATGCTACTTTTTTAAAATTTATTTGAATATAGCCTTTCTCTCTTGTTTATTTAATCGTTCTCTCATAGAAAGATCTTTGCACTTGTAAAAGTTGTGAGAAATTAAGTGTCTTTTACGATATAGCGTATACAACGACGACCATTCTCAGCATAATGACGATGACGATGATGACGATGACGTCGACGACGACGACTATGATGATAACGATGATAACGATGACGATGATAACGATGACGATGACAATATGATGATAATGCTAATAATACTAATAAAAATAATATTAATAATATTGTGGTCATACAAAGGAATTATGAAATATTATTAATTAGTATCCGTATATTGGCATGTGTACAAATAACTCTTAGCCGATGAAAATAAAAAGCTCACTTAACGTATCGACAAAGATAGAATGTAATGTTTCTCACCATAATTAAAGTTTACTATTTTTTTTTTTTTTTTTTTTTTTTTTTTTTTTTTTGTTACAGGTACGCGTGTATAATGTATTTCACACTTGCGGCAATGTAAGTAGAGAAAACTTTATTCTCGGCAAGGCAAATCCACTTCATTATGGCGTAGCTACACATCCGTGACAGTCAGCAGCGTTAAACGCAATTACATCCATCCGTATGCCCAAAATTGACGTTTCTTTTTACATAAATAGCCTCATTTGCATACGTGAATGCTCGTTTGGGTTGCCGCTTACAAGAATAACGAAATAAGAGGGTCGTAAGGCCGCCGCGTGAAAGTCCGCTTCGTCGAGCGCTCGGCTGCACCGAAACCTCATAGCCTCGGTGGCCTTTATTACCCAAGCCCAACTGTTTAGCGCCGTACCTGTTGCCCCGCACGTAGATCATGGCGTTGAGGACGCTCGAGCCGCCGAGGACTTTGCCCCGGGGCCAGTTGCATCGGTCCCCGACCATCGCCAGGCAATAGGCCGAGTTCGTCGGGGGTGCCGTCTGGTACATCCAATCGAACTCCGAGAGCTGCATATAACCCGTGAGTGCCGGGACGTCCGACACCTCGTTCTCGTCGCCCCCGGCTTCCAGGAGCAGCACGTTCCAATCGGGGATCTCCGAGAGACGCGAGGCCACTACCGCACCTGCCGATCCGCCGCCGATGACGATGAAGTCGTACGTCCGGAAGAGCTGTAAAGACATTCGACGTGTATCGATGGGACGCGTTGGGGCTTTTATGGTTAACTCCGGGACCAAATGACTCGATCCTTTAAAGAGATATCTAATACTCATTCATAATGATTAACGATCATTATCCTTTATGCTATTCTGAACTTTTTGCTGTTCACTATTCACGGACGGCCAAGCTATACTAGAGATCTATGAAATTTGAGCTGCGCGAGAAAAAAGATCATGATATTGAAAGTCATAAATTATAATGATGATCATCGACTCTATTGAGTTTCCATTATGAAGATTTGGCTTTGTACGTGAAATTGTGCTCGTTAAATTCGCTTAAAATCAACCCTTGATATTGGAAAACGTTAATTCTTTGTTATAAGCAACGTATGCATAGATATAAGTATGAAAAGTTTTCTATTAACATTGTTGGAAAATTTTATTAGAATGAAGAAACTGAAATAGCTATTGTAATCGATTAGACTTGAGGTAACAAAAAATATTGATAGCATAATAAAAGATTAATATAAGTTCAGAAAAAGCCTAACGATTTAATGTTGTAACTAGTAATATAATAATTATAAAGTAACACATTTCACAAGTATGTATTTTATTCTATATTTTAATAATTATGAAAAACAAATGTTTTACAGACATTATTTTTTCATTATATACTTTATTCCAATGCACGAGTGAAGTTTTTTTCATTTATGTGTTTATTGTTCGCGCGTATAAGCGTAAACGCCCGTGCACGTACGATTTGTCACGTTACCTTTTCAATATTTTATTTACAAATTATTGCTATAGAAAATATCGAACGATGATAAATTTATTATTATGAATTTTTAAACGGTATTATTAACGTTAAAGGAAATTATTTTTAACATAAACTGTAAAAAAAAAGTCTAAACGTTTATAAGAATTTAAATTGAAGAAAAAAAGGAGTAACGAATGAATAAGATTGTGCCTAATATTTATAAGTATTCGAGCATATTTTGCTATGATATTAGCAAATTACCACAATGAATAATTGCAGTAAAATTGTGTGCGGAATTGTGATTATTTTCTTTAAAATTGAGAGCCTGAGCATTGTACGGCAAGAGAGAGAGAGAGAGAGAGAGAGAGAGAGAGAGAGAGAAAGTTGAAATTACCCATTTAAATTGCCGTAGAAATACTGAAATACCTAAGATAATTCAAATTGCACGTTCCGAAATGCCATGTAGATTGTATAAGAAATTAAAGTACTGAAAACCTGTCGCTGGTTGATGGGATGCGATTCGGGATCGATGCTGTTGTATCGGAACATTGTGAAGCCGACGCCGAGGAGCGGTATGAGGCTCCAACCGACGAAGGTCGTGGGAATGCCG